GCGCGGAGTCTTCTAAGGTGAAGTTGTTGCATGTTGTCTTGAAAATGATGTGTACATTTATATATATATATATATATATATATTACTATTATTCTTATTCTTATTCTTATTCTTCTTATTTTTTTTATATTATTATTATTTTTTTAAATTATTATTATTATTATTATTATTTATTATTATTATTATTATTGATGAAGCCCTAGTGCTCCACCAGGCCCAGCCACCTAAAATTCCCAGTCTTCTTCGGATCCAGGCCTCCGCAGCTGCTCGTTCTTCTAGTTTTTCGCTTTGCTTTGCAGCCCTATCTGGCGGGCATAGTTTGGCCACGGGCCCTTGAAGAAAAAAACAGCTACGCATCAGGTTGAGTTCAGCACCTGACAGGCTAAAGGATTTGAAATGTGCAAATGCAAAAATGAAAGGTAAGGTGGTGCCACAACAGCACTCCCCCTTGAAAGATCCGCTTTGGACCTTTCACCTTTCAGCCAGGCTCAAGCTGTTGAATTTTTGGTTTCTAAACATGCCGTGCACAGTTGCAGATGATTCGATCCCAGTGCTGTAGGGCATCTCATATCTGAATGTGCAGCACTTCCGTACGCTCTCAGAAACAGGGTGGCACCAAGAGCAGGAACTGATCCATTTTGATAGGCAGAGCGTCGGCATCGACTGCACCATTTTGATTCTTTCACCAGACCAGTGTTCACCGAAGCCAAATGTCGACAGCTTCGGCTCAAACGATAAACTCCGCCAAAACGTGTTGAAAACACCTGAAATGGTAAATCTGGAAATTCTTCATCCGGCAGATGATCGATGGGACCCAAAATCGGATCACCTGGTGCAACAGCATTCAGCTCCATTCGGATCTCTCTTTCCTCTCTTTCGATTTCATCCCAGCTTCCAAAGATGTCCTCTTCAACGGTGGGCATGTTTGAGCCCTGTGATCTTGATTTCGGCTGTTGAACCCTTGGTGATGGTGTCACATTTGGCAAGTGACCCATCTTTGGAAATCTGTTCACCTTTGGTATTCCTTTTGGTCGCGGAGCAGTTTTCACTTGAACCTGTGGTGGCTGAGAAGAGGACGAAGAAGTTGATGGTGAGGCAGTTAAGGGGGCAGCAACAACGGAGCGCTCGCCATGGCTTGAAACTACGCTTCCTTTCGAAGTCTTTCCTCCTCGCTTCGCTTCTCCAGGGAGACTTCCGGGTGATGGAACTTGGCGCCTTTGAGCGGTAGCTCTCACCAACTGCACTCCTACCTTCCAGATCTGATGTGCAAAGAGTGTGGCCAAAACCACAAAAAAGGTATAGCAAGCGACCGTCGTTTCAAAGCTGATTTTTTCTTCATCCTCCTTAAGTTTCTCATGTTCAACCGCTTTCGCTGAAGAAATGGCAGCAGCCAGAGTGATGAGCTTGATGATCTGGGCTGCTTCAGCTACTTTCATCCCTTCGCTTTTCTCTTGATCTTCGCCTTCTTCTCTGAGCCTCCTTTCTTTCTCAAAACCTCCTTCTTTCTTTTCTTCCTCCTTTTCTTCTCCTTCTTTCAAACTTCCCATGCTCATGAGATTTTTCAGCTTTTCCAATCTTGGGGCGCTCAAGGCTTTCGTCCCCAAGTCTGCGATCATTGACTCGCCAGCAACATGTTGGATCAGCCAATCGCCACGGCTGATGCTCTGCCTGGCAAATGAGGAACGAAGCCTGAGGTGCCTCGTCCTCCAGCTGCCGCCATCGCAGGTCAGAATGGCTTCAGCTGCTTGGCTGTCGGTGTAGGCCACTTTGATGACCACCTCGTAGAGCTCTTGGACTATGACAGCTATTGATTCGCCAGCAGTCATCGCTTCTATGACTTCTGTCATCTCTGATTCAGCTGTTGAAAGTGTGACCAGACTCTGTCGGCCAGCTCGCCAAAAAATCGGCGACCCTTCCAGCAAAATCAAAAAGCTTCCATGCCTTTTTGAGCCTTCAGGAGAAAATGAGGCATCTGAGTATGCCTGCAGGACGATCTCATCTTTGAAGTCCACCTGGTAGCGGAGTCCCTCATCTTGAGTTCTTTTGAGATAGCCCTTCATTTGATCTCCTAGCTCCATGACTTTGACGGGATTCTTCAGGACGTTTGATCCCATCCGACTCACACCATACATGAATGAGGTCAGGGCGTGAGCGGGTGAGAAGCCAAAGTACTTCTCCAACACATTTTTGAGCTCCTCGCACTTCTTCCAGCGTAGGTGTAGACGCTGGTGCTTCAATGTGAGCTTGGTCACGGGTAACAGGGATCTTTCTTTTTTTCAGTTTTTCTTCACTTTTCTCTATCAAGTCTTTGATATATGACCTCTGGGTCACATACCACTCCTCCCTTTCTCCATCCTCAGCTTTTCTTTTTGATTTTCTTTTTGACACTTCCATCCCAAGAAACGAATGGGATGCTCGGAGACATACTCTGACGTTGATGTCTTCCAAGTTTCTTGAAACTTCTCCTTGATGGCCTCCAGGATGGAGTGGGATGAGCAGATGAAGATGTCATCCACGTAGGTCATAACCATTCCCCATAGGACTTGGCTTTCATCGAAAATTTCCAGCACTCTCCAAAGGTTTGGTTCTGATTGAAGAGCTCGTAGATGGAACTTTATTTTTCCTCCTCTTGAATCTTCTGCTTCGATTTGAAAGCTTTCCATAGTTTCATCACGGCACGTACCCCACAATCTTGGAGAACGGCGGAGCCCATACACAGCTCTTTGAGGCACTAAGAAATCATCCGGTGCCATGTAGCCCTTCTCGGTGAAAAGTGCAGGTGGCCTCACAATCAGGACAGCTTCTTGGTCGTTCTGATCCATCAACGCGTTGAGGAATGCAGTCTTGATGTCGATGACTGCACCAGCCCATTGATGACGGGCTGCTGCCCAAATGGACAGCCGAAAGGCTGCGGCATCAGCACCGCTTGAAAAGGTCTGTTCAGAATCCTTTTTGGACTCATAGTTTCCGCAAATCACCCAACGTGTTTTGTGCTTGCCGCCATTGGGGCCAGCTTTGATCGTGAAGACCAATTTTGAGGGTATGATATCCGCAGTGCGGCCTTCTTGAGCAGCCTTCTTTTGAATCTCCTCCAATTCTTTTCTTGTGATCTTTTTCAGAGCTTCTTTCTCCTCCAAAAGACTTTGAACTTCGGCATCGATGGCTTCAAGCCAACTTTTCCAACTTTTGGCAACCTCTCTTGTTGAGATTACTTTCGTTTGGAGAATCTCATCCTCCTCACTTGGTTCTTCCTTCATTCTTTTCATTTTCGCTACCCATTTGAGTTCTTCCACTGCTATTTCAGGGTCGTCTTCGACCATGTGTTTCATTTCTTCTTCTATCATTCTGCACAGCCTCTGTCTCAGCTGCTGAACCTTTTCTTCTTCTTTCTCCTCATCTTTCAAATCTTTCTCCTCAACTTCAATTTTTCTTACTGATGCCTTCTCTCGCCAGCGACTTCCTTTTCGATTGCGACCCACTTCTGGTCGGTGATTGGCTCTTTGGCTTTCCGAAGAACGTATTTGGTGACTCTTGGTCGTTCTTCTTCAGCTTGAACCCAATGTCCATGTTCTTTAGGAGCAGGAAACAGGTACTTGACAGTCTCCACGGTGGGCTCGAAGACACCCTGTCTCCATGTGCGACGCCTCACAAGGACGTCCTGCATGAAAGGTGGAAAGCTTGGAGCATCGCCAAGCCGCCAGCTTCTGTTCAAGGCATCGGCATAGCGAGCCGCTAATGGCCAACATTCGCTGCCCACATCGGCTTGTTTGAGCAGCCGACGTATTTGTGTTTTGAAGCTCTTCACTGCCACCCAGAGCTTCCAAAAGTCCTTAATTAAGGTAGCTACCTTACTTAAGTGATCTGGAGGCTTGCCAAAAATCATGGTTTTGGAGACCTTACTTAAGTGATCTGGAATTTTGGCCAGATCACTTAATTAAGGTCTCTGGATCTTTTGCTTTTTCATTGATATTTTTTGATGACACATTGATAAAATCATGTTTGCTGTATCTTGATCTCCTTTGAGGAGATCATTGGCTCAAACCAAGTTTTCTGTGCCTTGCATGCCCAGAAGGTTGGCAACCACACAGGTGCTTCTGGCTTGTTTTGTTTTTCTGCGGGCTTGCAAGTTGAAGCTGCACCTTTGTCATCATAAGGGGGAAAAGAGATGTAAGGGGTTCAAAAATATGTAAAAGTGATAGCCAAGGAGTATAATATATTGGGGAATATCAGGGGTGTAACAAGTGGTAACCAACAAAGGGGTGGACATATGTTTTTTTTACTCCACTCATATGTGTGTTGTTCTGTTACCAATCATGTCAACCAACAAACAAACAACCTCAAAGACATATATGGACAGATGTACTCCTCAGAGGAGTGATGTTTTAATATATTGAAACATGTATTGATATAAAAATGTTTTCCCTTTCATTCCTTCCCTCATATTTGTGGTTGTTTCCTTCTATCCAGCAGCCATGCCAGGTGCAGCCCCATGCCACTATGTGCAACATCTCCTCAGAGGAGATGTCTGGATTCCCAATGGGTTCTGGTGGACAGGGTAGGTTGAGTTTGCATGTTTCATGTTGCAGTGTCTCATTTTTTCAGTTGTCTATGTCTAATGTATTAGAATTGAAGGTATCAGAAACAAGTACTTGGTTGGAAGAGGTTGGATTGTGTAGCATTCTTGTTGAACTATGTGGAAACTGTGCGGCTCTTTCTGGCTCCAGCCAAGCAGGTGTTAAATGCCAACACTGGTGGCTTTGGGAAAGATGCTTAGGGAAGGATTCGACCAAGTGCTCCAGCTGAGATCTATGAGAGGAAGAATGCCTTCGTGGAAGAGACTGAGGCCAGGTCTTTCTTTTTCGAAACAAAGTCTCATGTTTCAAGGTGTGTTTGTACACTCCTCAGTGATGTTTACCTTGTTTGGTCCACATACATTCATTTGTGATCAGAAGCACTCCTCAGAGGAGTGATGCTCAGTGTTTTTTGCTCACATATACATT